TAGCAATGGTGGGGAAGAGGCAGGACACATCCTGAATAGGTTGCTAGTACTAAAACATACAAAAAGTTGGCTACCTATAACCAGTTTGAATCACCAGTTGACCCAACATGCATGTCTTTGGACTGTGGGAAGAAGTCACATATCAGAGGGCCAGTCAGTGGATTCTATCCCAGCCTTCTTGCCGTGAGGTGACAGTGCTAACCGCTGCTCCACTGATTTTAATACATTTCTAAATAATAAAGGCGACATTATTTTATCAAAATGTAGCTCAAACTTCAATGGAGCATAAGTTTGTGATGAGTTAGTAAAAATGTCTTCTGTCAATATTTGCATTTTTTTTTTTTTAATTAAAGTTTAACTTTTTTTTATTACATAAACTTCACTAGAAAAGTCTAATTTCATTTCAAATATTTATTTTGTGAAAAATAAGAAACTGAAGAGACTAATGCCACTCTGTCTGTACAATACATATAGAGCAGATTTCCCACGCATTTTTCATAATGACATGATTCCCAAAGCTCACCTGCAGGAATGATTCCTATCCGTAAAGAACATGGCACCAATTCAGCATCCGGTTGGTTCTGGTCAACACCGTGGTCATTTTGCGTCCGGGCAACCAGCCCGTGAAGGACTTCACTGAACATCCCATCTCCACCAACACACACCACCCTTGGCAGAAAAATTAAATCAACAATTCAGTAAGTGTTTGTGTCATGACTCTTCTAATACACAGATTGGTCATCCGGGAAGATCGACTGGATGTCACGTAATGACTTGTGTTACATGTACATGTGCTTGAAATGACACACACATGCTAGAGGGAAAATAACTATACAGCTGGAGAACTGACAAAAACATCACTGAAGAGGAGGCCCAACTGTGCAAGGCCAGTAAATAAGAATATCACACTGTGCTATCAGGCATAACAGCTTCTCAAGTCCAACTCATCTATACATCTATAAATCATATGAGCTGCAGAGTAAAACCATAATGGACTCTAAACCTGCTCTGGGAGAATGAATAGCTGATGAATAGGAGCTGGAAACAACGGGGAACTCAGCTGGAAAGTAGGAGACCCTTTATATTCCATGGTAAACTGTATTCTGCCATTGAATGCCAACTTTGGATCACAACCCTGAGCAGCTTCATGTACAGTTTGAGCTGAAAACCTTCATTTATTGTCAAGATTTAGATATAGAAACAGACAAATATATATATTTTTAAAAAAAACTATAGAAAATGTTGAAATTCCAGTAAAACTTCCTAGTGATATTGCTTCATTGTGACTTTTGACCACTTCATTT